CAATTTACTCCAGTGGGGGAAAAAATCCTTCCTGATTCCCCAATCGGATATTCCCTGAATCAATTGCTCCTGGTATTATTACCTATAAATGGAATATCCAGTTATATAATTACAATTTTGGAATGCGTTCAGACAGGGGAACTTGTGGAGGGCTGGCACCTGTGCTGTATATGTAATGGGAGCCACATCACCACGTGTGCTCTATATAATTATTTTAAATTTAATTTCATTGATGCAATAAGTAAAAGTGAAAAAAAAAATAAAAAGAATCAATTTTTATCCAGAAACTGACCCCTCCCAACAATTGGTCGCTATTGCGAAACCACTCCTAAAAAGCACATCTGGAGAAATGATCACAAAGCACAGCTCATTATTTTGAAGAAAACCCACTTAATGGACTCACTGACCTAAGTAAACTCCATCCAGTATATGTGTGACCATGAATCACATTTAAAAAAACACATAAAAAAAAAACCATGACTAAACTTAAAACCAGGTTCCCCCATTATGGATAGAACTCTAATATAATACATCAGAGAGATCATAGGGAGAATGAACAGTTTATGTGTTTAAATTATGGTTTTTATTGGCATCCATTGGAACTTCCCTCAGCTGGTGGACGCAAACATCAAAAATACGATGTAGCCACATACTTGGCTAAGAGTGAGAGAAACACTGTGCTGCAGCTGTTCCTGTGCTTTGACTGAACTGTTCATGCTGGACTGAGCAACATTGCCTGCTTCCAGCCAGTAGGGGGGTGGACAAGTGTAAAGAATTCAATAGACCTCTATGCTGGCCACAATGCTGGAATGTGGAATAGAAGTTTGGGAAGGGAGCCATGCTATGGCCTCCTGTGGACCATTGGATTACAGTTCCCAGCAGCAGACAGTAATAGGTAGAGAAAAGAGTTGTATTTCTTAGGCTGCAGATTGAATAGCTTGGCCTGACCATGAGGTAGATCAGATCAGTGCAGTAGGTCTAGTGTACACCATCACTGTTGCATATCAGCAGCCTGAGCAGTATCTGGAGTGCAGATGTTCTGACAGCTACAGTCAGCTGGGTGCAGAGTAGAGGGTGGACTAATTGCTGTGTCTGACCAAATGGTGAGCAGCAATATCGTTGGGACTAGTGAGCTGCTGCTGTGGGGATTTACTCTCTCTGCTGGTAGCGAGAAAGGCTGAGCCCTTTAGGAACTGACCATACAGCCATCTAGTAGCGTTACTGCTACCTACAGGCTTGACAGGGACTATTCTCACATGCACCAACTGGGCCCCAACACTAGCTAGCTTAGTAGTTAGTACTAGACTGTCCATTTACAGCTGCTACATAGAAACCTTTAACTATTGCTTATGCAGGAGATACCTCTCTGTCAGAAGACCAATAGTTATACAGCTAATGTTCATACTTGTGCAGCTAATACTCATGCTCATGCACATGGTCCAGCAAACAGACGGACTTTGGCCTGTAACCAGCATGCACTAACACGTCAGCGCATTGCCATGTGACAGACCTCGGCTTGCCTCTGACCATGCTCTGCTGATTTCCTGGTATCAACCTTGGCCTGCTGCTTGACTATGCTTACTCCTGCTTTTCGAGTATGATTCTGGCTTGGCTACTGACTATGTCTTTGTTGTCCATTCATACTGACCCTGGCTTGCCATCTGACCACATCACCGATCTTGATGGGTATCTGCATCTGCCTCTGACTGAGTGTCCTCGCAGTCTCTGTACCCCAAGCTTCTAAGTCCTAGTTCCCAAGTGCGTTGTGGAATGCCATCCTTGGTCCTCCTCTGGTGTGCCTGAACTGCTGCTGGCTACAGTCCAGAGACTACTGCTACCTGATTACCCATACTTGTGCTACTTTGTGCACCGTGCCCCTATTCCCATACTACACACTACACCCATATGGGTATTCAGATAAGAGCTGCAAGGGGAAGCCGTCTCATCATTTTGGCTCCCAACCAAGGCACGTACCACTCTCAGGGGACATTGTTCTATATTCTAGCCATTCTCCTAGGGTGCACTCTAGACTAGTCATAGTGTTATTGTTAATCTAAAAGGTGCGCAAAACCTCAGGTGCAATGGGCATCTTCAGGGGATAAGGAAGACATCCGATGCACCAGACGAAGTGCACGTAGGGCAAGGCCATTGGCTAATGATGTTGTATACCCGCATTTGATCCCTGGTGTGGTTTGTTTTTCTTGTGCTATTCTGTAACTTTAGTAAGTATATCTATTGTAATAAATCATGTGGTTTTAGAATACTTCTCTATGGTTCTTTGTTCTTTCTCCTACCTATTGTTACTCTGAGGTGCTGCCTTTGAATAACTTTTGAAGGATTGTGGAGGCGTTGGAATTAGTGGTATCCTGAGTGGTGGCCTCCCAACTGGATGATTTTGCGCGGGCTGAGCTCATATCATTCGGAGAGCATTACCATTTGGTAAGGGAACTGGCACACTTGTGTGTGCAGTGGTTTGGGTTTCTCACACCTGGACTTTCATCATTTTCATGATTTCACATTTACTCCTTTGTTATGTACAAGGGAATTATATTAGATCAGCAGATCAGCAGTTTTTGAAATGCTCCTCCTTCTGAGTGGATGTTATATGACGTCCTCTCAGAAGGCGCAGCCGTGGGGCCGTGCAGCACCGCGATCTGTCACAGGTTATATCCACAGAACACAGCTGATGACTGATCACTACACCCGCCTGCTGCCAGTGTCATGTGATCGCTGTGACCAATCACAGCTGATCACATGACAATTGTATAAAATGGAAGGCTTCCTTTCATGCCATCCATTGTATACAATTGTGTTGTTAGCTGTGATTGGTCCCAGTGGTCACATGGCACAGACAGGGCCAATTACAGCCCATCTGTACCATGTGATGAGCTTTGGCCAATCACAGCTAATCACAACAAAAGACACTGAATGAATCAGTTTCATTCAGGAAAAAATGGTAGCTAATATCAATGAAATACATTGGTATATAAGCAATCATAATGTGTATAAAAAAAAAATTCTGATCACTTGCCCAGAGTAGTAAAATGTTACTATGGTAACACTGTATTGCTCTGGTCACAGTGTGTTGAAAAAAAATTGTAAAAAAAAAAAAGAACAAAAATGTCATAATAAATAAAAAAATAATAGAAAAATTAAAAAAAATATATATATTTTTTTGTACATACTGTCACCAGTCAGTGTCCCTGACCACTGCCACACCAGTTATATAACGCTGTAGTGGACTGGTGACAATATGTAAAAAAAGAAAAACAAATTATGTTTTTTAAATTTCTTCATTTTCCACAAAATTGTGGCAAAAAATTAGAACTTCATAAAACTTTCCATGCCACTTACTAAAGACCTTTGAGTGTCTATTTTCCAAAAATCGGTCATTTGGGGGGCATTTGTACTATCCTGGTGTTTTCAGGCCTCAAGAAATGAGATTGGCTGTCAGCCCATCAGGATTGATTGTCAGATATATATATATATATATATATATATATATATATATATATATATATATATATATATATATATATATATACACACACACACCATAGTTTGTGGGCTCTACAGTATAACTTTCCTACAGACTAAATAAGATACACTAATTTCTATCCATGATGGGGTAGCTTGTTTTTAAGTTTAGCAATTTTTATAAAATATGTGTTATCTCATGTGTTTTACATAGTTACATAGTTTGGTTGAAAAAAAACAACCATCTAGTTCAACCAATAACAAGGGAAAAGATATACAATCCTATATGCACAATCCTAGACCCACAGCTGATCCAGAGGAAGGCAAAAAAACTCCAATTTGCTCCAGAGGAAAACAATTCCTTCCTTATCCCTCAAGAGGCAATCGGATATTCCCTGGATCAACTTTACCTATAAATATTAGTATCCAGTAAAATTATGTACATTTAGGAAATAATCCAGGACTTTTTTAACCACTTTCCGTCCACCCGTCAGGGTCAGTTAGCGCCCCTTTCAGCCAGGGTCAGCTAGTATTAGATTGCCCACACACTATCGCACTCACGCTATAGGTCGCTGATCACCGCCATTGCTAGTATAGTGTCTGTACAGATCAGTATGTTGATCACGAACAGAACTATACTAGTGCCTTCTTAGTATACTGTCCCCAAAATCGCAGTGTCAGCAGGATCAGCCCAGTTCTTTGTCAGCACTAGCATATAGCCTCTGCACTGTTTTTCACTGAAGATTTTTATCAATTGATTGTGAGCCAAAGCAATACGCACAACAATACATCGCCGCCCACCCAAATTCAGGTCTTGCCAGACAATTTACATGGACATCTATCACAGTTTTCAAATTTAAAACTTCTTTGGGCCTAACCCTCAACATGGGCATTACAAAAAAGAATGGATTGAGGTCATATTGGTCCACAGACCCGATTCATCATATGATTGTGTTCTCTGCTGGTACATACATGGCCAACAAGGACCAGCAACATACTGGGTACGTCGCTGGATTTTGAGTGGTTATACTGGGATGATGGCTGCAGCTGCAGGCATCATCCTGGTATTGTTTTTTTCAGCTGGTGGTCGGCTTTCATGTAAAAACAATCCTAGCCGCTAATTAGCGGACGTCCCCCCCGCCTTCTACTTTATTTTGGGCTTTCCCATCCCACAGGGGAATCTGAGAATGCAGCCAGCAGTTCTGCTGGCTGACCATAGTGCTGATTGGAGACCGGGATGCCTCCAATCATCTCTATGGTCTAAGACAGAGGTCTCCAAACTGTGGCCTGTGGGCCGGATGTGGCCCTTTGCTTGCTTTTATCCGGCCCTTAGGGCATTTTTCCTTCCATTTGCACGAAGCACTATTTCTTCCATTGACACCAACGATGGGGCACTATTTCTTCCATTGACTCCAACGATGGAGCGCTATTCCTCCCACTGACACCAATGATGGGGCACTGTTTCTCCCACTGACCCCAACAACGGGGCACTGTTCCTCCCACTGACCCCAACAATGGGGCACTCTTCCTCCCTCTGACCGCAATGGCGGGGTACTCTTCCTCCCACTGACCCCAACAATGGGGCATTCTTCCTCCCACTGACCCCAACGACGGGGCAGTCTTCCCCCCACTGACCCCAATGACCTGGGCACTGTTCCTCTCATTGACCCCAATGACCTGGGCACTGTTCCTCCCATTGACAGGCCACTGTTCTTCCCACTGACCCCAACGATGGGGCGCTGTTCCTTCCACTGACCACCAAGCCTAGGGTATTGCTTACTTCCACTGATGCCCGAGCATTTTCTACTCCCACTGGCAACAATCTGGCCACCCTAAAGTTTGAAGGGCAGTAAACTGGCCCTTTGTTTTAAACATTTGTAGACCCCTGGTCTAAGAGAACGGAAGCTATGAGCATTTCCGTTTCCTGGATACAAACAGCGCCATTTTAAAATTGGGAAAACATCTGACCACGCTGATCTTGGTGTGATCAGATGCTTTAAGGGCAAAGGGCATGAACCATAACAAATTGCAGCAAGGACCATTTTATTTTCTAGTGCCTCTGCCTTAAAAAATATAATATGTTTGGGCATTCAAAGTAATTTTCTAGCCAAAAAACTGTTTTTTTCATGTAAAGAAAAAGTGTTAAAAAAGGCTTGGTCTTCAAGTGGTTAGAAGAGTGGGTGATGTGTTTTGCACAAGCTTCTAATGTTGGCCCTGAAATGCCAGGATAGTAGAAGCACCCCCCCCCCCTCCCAAATGACCCCTTTTTGGAAAGTAGACACTCCAAGGTATTTGCTAATACGGTGAGTATTTTAAAGATCTCATCTGTTGCCACATGTTTTTGGAAAACGAAGAAAGAAAATTAAAATGTATTTTTTCTTTTCTTTATTCATTTTTCAAAACCCTGTGACAAAAATTATATCTGAAAAATACTTACCATGCCTCTTATCAAATTCCTTGGGTTGTCTACTTTCCAAAGAGGGGTAATTTGAGGGGGTGTTTGTACTATCCTGGCATTTTAGGACCTCTGAAACTATGATAGGTAGTGAGGAAGTGATATGAGGCAATATGCCGTTTGAAAGCCTAGAGGTAGTCATTGGATTTTCGGGCCTGTATGTAGCTAGGCTGCCAAAAAGTCTCTCACATGTGGTATCCCCATACTCTGGAGAATTAGCAGAATGTGTTTTGTGGTGTTATTTTGCATATACCCATGGCATGTGTGAGCAATATATAATTTAAGTAGCAATTTTGTGTAAAAAAAAATTTTTTATTGGCTATTTTCCAAAAATTTGTGGCAACAATTTAAATCTTCTATGGACTCAATATGCCTCTCAGCAAATGCCTTGGGGTGTCTACTTTCCAAAAATGGGTCATTTGGGGGGGAGTTGTACTACCCCGGCATGTTAGCACCTCAAGAAATGTGATAGGCAGTAAGAACGTAAAAGCTACCTAAATTCTAATATATATACCATAGTTTGTACTGTAGACAACTTTCACACAAACAAATTGATATACCGTATTTTCCGGCGTATAAGACGAACCCCTACTTTTCCTGTTAAATATAGGGTTTGGGCTATACTTGCCGTATAAGACTACCCCTCTTCCAACGCACACACCAAATAAAAATTAAAAAACATCAGATTTGATTTCAATATGGTATGGTATTCCAATGATGGGGCACGATTCCTTGCTCTGACACCAATGATGGGGCACGATTCCTCGCTCTGACACCAATGATGGGGCACTATTCCTCCCACTGACACCAATGATGGGGCACTATTCCTCCCACTGACACCAATGATGGGGCACTATTCCTCCCACTGACACCAATGATGGGGCACTATTCCTCCCACTGACACCAATGATGGGGCACTATTCCTTCCACTGACACCAATGATGAGGCACTATTCCTCTTATTGACACCAATGATGGTGCCCCATCATTAGTGTCAGTGTGGGAGGAATAGTGCCCCATCATTGGTGTCAGAGCGATGAATCGTGCCCCATTATTTGTGTCAGAGCGAAGAATCGTGCCCCATCATTGGTGTCAGTGGGAGGAATAGCACCTTATCATTGGTGTCCGTGGGAGGAATAGCGCCCCATCATTGGTGTCCGTGGGAGGAATCGTGCCCCATCATTGGTGTCAGTGGGAGGAATAGTGTCCCAACATTGGTGTCAGTGGGAGCAATAGTACCCCGTCAGTGGGGAGAGGAATAGTGCCCCATCGTTGGTGTCAGTGGGGGGGAGGAATAGCGCCCCATCATTGGTGTCAGTGGGAGGAAAAGCGCCCCATCATTGGTGTCAGTGGGAGGAATAGCGCCCCATCATTGGTGTCAGTGGGAGGAATAGTAATTCTGAAGGACCCTCTGCACACTGGTATATACCCTTTCAAGCAAACTATGAAACAAATAGGGATATTTGGTTCACACATATTGCAATACATGTTTAAGCTGGCCAACTGCGTCAAAGTAATCCCTCTATGGCCAGTCCTACTCTGCCCTGCCTACACAAGTGCTACTGTGGACACAATGCTAACATAGGGGAAAAGACCCAATGGGGAGAGCTACAAGGTTCAGTGGGAGGAATAGTGCCTCATCATTGGTGTCAGTGGGAGGAATAGTGCCCCATCATTGGTGTCAGTGGGAGGAATAGTACCCCGTCAGTGGGGAGAGGAATAGTGCCCCATCGTTGGTGTCAGTGGGGGGAGGAATAGTGCCCCATCGTTGGTGTCAGTGGGAGGAATAGCGCCCCATCATTGGTATCAGTGGGAGGAATAGTGCCCCATCATTGGTGTCAGTGGGAGGAATAGCGCCCCATCATTGGTATCAGTGGGAGGAATAGTGCCCCATCATTAATAAAAGAAAAGTAGGTGCAGCGCTAAAAGCAAAATAAAATATTTCTCTGTAGGATAAATATATAAATATCAGTGGTCAAACAGATATACCACAAGGTGAATAGTGCATTGAGTCTATAAAGGGTGCTGAGAGCACGTACAAAGTTCTCATCCCAGGGTGATGGTAGTAAAAGGTAGAGGGAATCCTGGAAAACAGATAGAGTGCGCACTCACCAGAAGTGCGTTAAAATAACGCATGTAAGGAAGTAGCTGCTGCAAGATCTCTCCAGCATCAGGGATCTGGTCAGGTCGCACTGCGTCCTATCCACTGTCTCACCGCAAGAAGAGGTGGCCAAGTAGCATCCGAACGTGTGAGCGTCAGGGAACTCCTTGGTCCAAAGAAGTGCTGTGGGAGATGGTGCTCTCATAGAGAGCCCAATGAAGGACGCCACATGGTGTAATACTGTTTGACTTGCGTTTAATAGTCAAAAAAAGGGGGGTAAACAAAAAAGTACTGACCATAAGTAGTAGGCCACATATAGTGGCTAGATGTCCATAAGCTGTAGCCCCCCTGACGCGTTTCGTGCGATGCACGTCCTCAGAGGGTCAGGGCTTACAGTGCCCCATCATTGGTGTCAGTGGGAGGAATAGTGCCCCATCATTGGTGTCAGTGGGAGGAATAGTGCCCCATCGTTGGTGTCAGTGGGAGGAATAGTGCCCCATCATTGGTGTCAGTGGGAGGAATAATGACCCTTCATTATTATCAGTGACACCAATGATGGGGCACTATTCCTCCCACTGACACTTGCTGACCCCTGTTCCAGTATGGTGCTGCTGCAGCCAGCATATGTGGTTGCAGCAGCACCTCTGCACTGCACACTTACCGGCTCCCTCACTCGATTTTCGCGGGTACGCTCGGCTCCGCCTCCTCGCCCGTGATTGGCCGCCTGTGTGCCTTTCCTGAGCTACAGTTCTGGTGGCCAATCACCGGTGAGGAGGTGGAGCCGAGCGGCAGGAGTGAGGGAGTGGCCGGAGTGACTGAAGGAGCAGCACCTCCTGGACTGGATCGTCGTGGGAGCCAGGTAAGAGACAGCAGCTCTCTGCCCACCCCTGTACATAGTGTCCCTTCCGTCGGAAGGGGGGGACGGCGGCGGCACCGCGCCGCCCCCCCTAAAAAGTGCCGCCCTGACGTATACCGGCGTATAAGACGACCCGTGACTTTTGAGAAGATTTTCAAGGGTCAAAAAGTCGTCTTATATGCTGGAAAATACAGTACACGTATTGGGATTTTTTTTTTACCAAAGACATGTAGCAGAATACATTTTGACCTAAATTTATGACTAACTTTAAGTTTACTGTATATTTTTTTGTAACCAAAATTAGAAAATACTGTTTTTTTTTTCATTTTCAGTCTTTTTTCGTTTATAACACAAAAAAAAAAAAAAAAAAAAAAAACCAGTGGTGATCAAATACCACCAAAGGAAAACTCTATTTGTGTGAAAAAAAGGACATAAATTTAATTTAGGTACAGCATAGGATGACTGTGCAATTACCAGTTGAACTAGCTCAATGCTGAATACTAAAAAATGCCCTAGTCATTAAGGGGGGTAAATCTTGCCGGAGGGCAAGTGGTTAAAGCAATCTTCTGAGCTGGCCAGAATCAGCTCTTGAGGGAGTCTATACCACATTATCACAGCTCTTACTGTAAAGAAGCCTTTCCGTATTTGGAAATTAAATCTTTTTTCCTCCAGACGTAAAGAGTGCCCCCTTGTCCTCTGTGATGACCTCAGGGTGAATAGCTCTACACTGAGTTCACTATATGATCCACTGATGTATTTATACATGTTGATCATATCCCCCCTTAATCTCCTCTTCTCAAGAGAGAATACATTCAGTTCCTCTAATCTTTCCTCATAGCTGAGCTCCTCCATGCCTCTTAGCAGTTTGGTTGCCCTGAAAGTGTGATACAAGCAAGGCAAGAAATGACATAATGCCTATTTAGAGTACTGATTGTACCGATGACAATTTCCCTTGTCACAGATGCGACACTTTACAAATAATTCTGCTGCACTTACATCAGCAGTCAGTGTGTTACCAGTAACTATCTTTACTTTCTATTTGTCTGGGACATTAGGGGAGAATAGAGGTCAGTTAATATGTCAGTGCTTGTTTGTTAGTCCAGGATCAAAGTTCACAACTATTTGTGACACACGGCCAAAGCAAAGCATAGCCACAATCACTAAAATCTCATATACAGTTGTGGCCAAAATTATTCAACCCCCACTGAAATTGAGTGTTTTGGCCAGTTTGACATTGCTTTTGATCATTCAGTCATCTTGCTTACATTTACATTAAAGAGGCACTTGTAGGTCAGACAAATATAACATAACAGTTATAATGAAATAACCACAAATGTCTTTTCTGTGCTCACAGCATTATCAGTTTTATTCAACCCCCAAGTGACATTCAATCTTAGTACTTAGTACAGCATCCTTTTACAGTTATAACAGCTTTTAAACGTGAAGCATAGCTTGACACAAGTGTCTTGCAGCGATCTACGGGTATCTTCGCCCATTCTTCATGGGCAAAGGCCTCCAGTTCAGTCACATTCTTAGGCTTGCGCACTGCAACTGCTTTCTTTAAGTCCCACCAGAGGTTCTCAATCGGATTTAAGTCTGGTGACTGCGATGGCCACTCCAAAATGTTCCAGCCTTTCCTCTGCAACCATGCTCTAGTGGACTTGGAGGTATGCTTGGGATCATTGTCCTGTTGAAAGGTCCAACGTCTCCCAAGCCTCAGGTGTGTGACGGACTGCATCACGTTTCCATCCAATATCTCCTGGTACTGAAGAGAATTCATGGTACCTTGCACACGCTGAAGCTTCCCTGTACCTGCAGAAGCAAAACAGCCCCAAAGCATGATTGACCCTCCACCATGCTTCACAGTAGGCAAGGTGTTCTTTTCATCATAGGCCTTGTTCTTCCTCCTCCAAACATAGCGTTGATCCATGGGCCCAAACAGTTCTAATTTTGTTTCATCAGTCCACAGAACACTATCCCACAACTTTTGTGGTTTGTCCACATGGCTTTTGGCATACTGCAGTCGACTCTTCTTATTCTTTGGAGACAGCAAGGGGGTACGCCTGGGAGTTCTGGCACGGAGGCCTTCATTACGCAGTGTGCGTCTTATTGTCTGGGCTGAAACTTCTGTACCCACATCTGACAAATCTTTTCTCAGTTCCTCAGCAGTCACACGGGGACTTCTCTCCACTCTACGCTTCAGGTAGCGCACAGCAGTCGAAGTCAGCATCTTCTTTCTGCCACGACCAGGTAGCGTTTCAACACAGTGCCCTTTGCCTTGAATTTGCGAATGATGCTTCCTAAGGTGTCTCTTGGTATGTTTAACATCTTTGCAATCTTCTTATAGCCATTGCCCTTCCTGTGAAGAGAAATCACCTCTTCTCTTGTCTTCCTGGACCATTCTCTTGCCTTCACCATGTTTGTAACCACACCAGTAAATGTCTAGAAGGAGCTGAGTATCACAGTCATTTTAAAGCTGCCTAATTGGTGCTTATTATGCTTGATTGCTGCTCGGTGACATCCACAGGTGTTTTCAATACCTGATGGAAAGCACCTGTATGAACCTCTGTTCTTCAGAGTGGTAGTCTTTAAGGGGTTGAATAATTGTGGCAATGAAGAAACCACATAAGAACCATTTACTACTGTATTACATAAACAATTGATGTCATTTTAGTTGCATTTGGGTAGTTACAACGTCCTTGTAGGATTTGATTCTGAATACAATTCCAAATGTACACTATAGTCCCTAAACCCCTTTACAGCATTGGGGGTTGAATAATTTTGGACACAACTGTAGCTGTATTATGGTAATGTCATTTCAAAAGTAATGTTCAACATTTTAAAATCTACGGTTTTCTCTACAACAACCTCCTGATGAAACTGTATTGAAGGTCCTGTTATAGGGTGGCAATGATCTGTTCCTATTTCCC